CCAAAGACTTTTTGGGGAGTGTTGCTGGAGTGACAGTCCTTGGCCAGTTATAAATCTGGGTCGTTCCGGTTACGTAGACCAGACTGTCGTGGGTCTTCACTATTACTTCCCAAATGCCTCTATTTAATTTTTATCTAATACCAATTAATTAATCGATGTGGCAAGACAACAGCTGTTTGGCTTTGAGTTGTTTTGTTTTGATCTGTCATTTTAGTGCGAGTCAAAAAATAAAAAAGTTATATTTAATAAAAAACAGAAGTTTATTATAAAAAACAGAGGTTGATTATAAAAAAAAAATAAATAATGCAGGATTTTGAGGCGAAGCGGAACGCCTTGTTCGCTTGTCTCGACAATGCAAGCAAAGAGCTAACCGGAACAGCGCTAGACCAAAGCCATTCGGCCAGCCCCGCAATTGATTTAGTTTATCGCCGCGGCATTTGTCCAAACAGAAAAAGAGGAGCTCCATCTCCTGATAAAAGCTTATCTCGAATGCGCGGCAAAGAGAGTATATTCAAGAAACACGAAATGCCACTATCAAAATGTTTAAAGCCTCGCAGGACGCCAGATTATAAGGTATGTTTGCTGTTAAAAAGCAAAGATTCGTAGATTAATTTGACAATTATCGTGCGTAAAGGTTAATCCACAAAAGTGGACAAAGTACTCCCTGGCAGATGTGGATATCTCAGATCACACCAACACTGCCGCAGCTTTTCAGTTCTTAAAGCAAATGGACGAGCAGCTGGAAGCGCGGGCAGAAAAAGAGGGAAATTTCGAGGAAGGCAAGTTAAAAATCGAGTTTAAGAGGTCTAGTAAAATAAGAAAACAAATGAAAGCTAAAGAAGATGATGAACTAAAAGATGTGGAGGTGGATAAACCTAGACTAAAAGGTTCCAAGGTTGTGATGCCAGAATATGTTGTTGGACAGCAAAGGGAATCAAAGAAAAAGCATAAAGTAGCTACGGAGAATAAGGTACGTGCTGCTGGTACCTTAAAGCTTGAACATCTACAAGAGGAAGATGAAGAGCCAGAAGAAGATTAAAGTTATAAATTTTGAATTATTATTTAAATACAAAAATCTAAGTTGCAAATACATACTTTCTTTAGATATTAAGTGCACATATCGCACACCGTCTTCAAAAGAGTCACAACTCAAAATAATACGTTGGACAGAAAATGCGAAAAACTATTTCCTAGCACAAAATAACAAAAATTTGCTCCAGCTTTTGCTGAAAGGTAAATAAAACCTCTGTGTACATTTTTAGGGGATAATTTTAAAAATGCCAAATTTAGAGTTGTGACTCTTGAAGACTGTATGCAACATGGTGGACATGTTTACAGTGTAGGCGCATGAAATCTGTAATATGAAAAATCCATCGTATTTTTAGTATGTATGTACATATATTGATCGCAATAAAAAAATAGCTATGGATAATCGAATTTGAATGAATCGAATCAGTAACCTTATATTAAGCATTCCAAAATGCATTGAATCAGAGAACTTATAAGAGATACAAATTCTCCGATCAAATGAGCTAAACAAGTTTATAAACATTTCTCTGCAACATTACGGTTATGGAATATGTTGCTAGATAAGTTGAACTTGTTTTTCGACACAGTTTATCTATCATCTAGGCGAACAGCTGTTTGAAGAAAGTGACAGCTGTCAAAGGCCGGTTTGTTTACAAAAATAAGCAATTGCCGATTTTTTATAACTTATTAAATTAATAGGATTACTATAATAAAAGTACTAAAATAATAACTTTGTAAAAAACTTAAAATGGTGTGCGCACTAGGCATCGAAGGAAGTGCGAATAAAATTGGTGTTGGCATAATACGTGACGGAGAAGTGTTGGCTAATGTGCGCCGTACCTATGTGACACCACCGGGCGAAGGTTGTGAGTAAAGAATTTATAAATTATTTTTATTAATTTTTAAAATTCTTAGGATTCTTGCCAAAAGAAACAGCACAGCACCATAGAGAAGTTATTCTCCAACTTATCAAAAGCGCGATGAAAGAAGCTAGCCTGGAACCAAAAGAGTTGGATGTTATTTGCTATACCAAAGGTCCCGGCATGGCGCCGCCACTATTGATTGGCGCAATTGTGGCACGAACACTTTCGTTATTGTGGGAAAAGCCACTTTTAGGTGTTAACCATTGCATTGGTCACATAGAAATGGGCCGTCTAATAACAAGCGCGCAAAATCCTATTGTGCTCTACGTGAGTGGCGGCAATACACAAGTAATTGCTTACTCTAATAAACGATATCGCATTTTTGGTGAAACCATAGATATCGCCGTGGGCAATTGTTTAGACCGGTTTGCGCGCATAATTAAACTTTCGAACGACCCCAGTCCGGGTTATAATATAGAGCAGTTAGCAAAGAAGGGCAAAATTTTTATAAAACTGCCGTACGTTGTCAAAGGTGGGTGTAGATGCCTTAACTTCCAAACTACTTATTATATTTACTTATTTTTGATAGGTATGGATGTGAGCTTTTCGGGTATTCTTTCACAAATTGAAGAGATCGCCGATCCCAGCAAAAGGCGGAATAAGCGTAAAAAAGCAGAAGAAGCGGCGGAGGTACCAGAATATAGTAACGAGGATCTTTGTTACTCGCTGCAAGAGACAATATTTGCAATGTTGGTGGAAATTACCGAACGTGCAATGGCGCATTGCGGTTCTAATGAGGTAGGTATTTCATTAAAATTTATACGAAGAAGAGTTAACAAATAATTAATGGTCCAATTCAAAACAAAAGGTACTCATTGTGGGTGGCGTGGGCTGCAATGAGCGCCTACAAGAAATGATGCGCATCATGTGTGAAGAACGTGGCGGTAAACTATTTGCTACGGATGAGCGCTATTGCATCGATAATGGTCTGATGATCGCACATGCAGGCGCTGAAATGTTTCGTTCTGGTACACAAATGCCTTTCGAGGAATCATTTGTAACGCAACGCTTTCGTACAGATGAAGTGCTAGTCACTTGGCGCGATGACTAATGAATAGGCAAAATATGACGCCTCATATTGAGTTTGGTTTAAACTGCAAACAACAAACAACGATTTGTTCTGCATTCTTCAAAAAGGTTAGTTACTAGCCTCTTGAAAATTCAATAACAAACAATTCGTACTAAGCTTCAGATTTGAGAAATTGAGCAAAACTTCATGTATTTAAATAAATTTAATTCCAGCAAGCATGTTTGTATGTACTAAATATATGTATATAGTCTAGTTTCAAAACGAATCTTTACTTTGTTTCTAATCGCTCAATTCCTTCTCGATACCACGCCAGTAACTCTTCATTTCCATTGGAAACAGTCGCTTGCCCTCGATTATGTAAACCTCACCATTTTTCTCCTTTTCTAAAGCGCTAAGTATGCAACGTGATACATCGGCAGCACTTTGCTTGTTGAGACGATCCAACACTCGATATGATTCATCACCCATATCGGGAAAGAGTATTTTCTCAGTAAAATTTGTAAACATGTCCGTAATAGTGGCGCCGGGACAGATTGTGATGAACTTGATGCCAGTGCGATTTAAGTAAATATCAGTCTGCAAATAAATACTTATGAATACAGTGAAAGTCTAAAATAAAAGCACTTACACCCAAACATCGTGTGAAATTTATAATTCCTGCTTTAGTAGCGGCATACACAGGCAGCAGAAACATTGGATCCAAACCAACAACCGAAGACATATTTGCTACAATACCTCCTTCCCCACCATTTTCCTTGCTCATCACTTTAAGAGCCGCAAGTGTGGAATTAATGATGCCGCCCTATGAAAGCGTACAGCATAATGCGTAAATATTGTGATAAAAAATGATATAACATTTTTGAATTACCAAATTGACTAAAATGGTACGCTGTACATCCTGATCATTGAAAATGCCAGCAACGTTTACAACAATATCAATGGAGCCAAAAGCCTTTCCAAGTTCCTCGTAGGTATTTGCAATGCCCTGCCTATTCGCAACGTCGGTTTTTACCAGCACTATAGTTTGTGTGGGATGAGCTGCACGTAACTTAGCGATATCTTCCGTATTTTCTTGTATATCAATAATTGCAATTTTCTAGATATTTATAATAAAAAAAGTATGTATAAACAAGCAACAAGAATTTAGATTATTCTATATCCATCATGCTCACCGACGCCTCATTGGCCAACAGTTGCTTGCACACTTGCAAGCCAATGCCGTTAGCGCCGCCGGTAATCACTGCATTTTTGTCGCGAAAAGCCATTTTGTATTTTAAATCCTCAAGTGTATGGAATTCAACTAATTTAATAGTATTATTTTTGTTGATTAGTTTATTGTATTTTTGATTGGGAACTCCACTATGGCCGCGAACACCTCCGCTGTTAATTTTAATACCAAACGGAAAATACAAAATTTTGCAAAATATATTGTAAAAATCCACTTTGTACAATTTGCTCTTCTAGAACTCTACTTTACAATCGGTTAGCGTGCCCACTAACGATCTCGACTTGATGCTAAGCAATTTATACTAGCCGACTTGGATGTGATACCAACTTTGGTTTAGTGGTTAGCGCATCAAGCTTCCCCTCAGATATTTGATATTGATACATACAGAGAGCATTATGAAACGTTGACTGGAAAAAAAATTGAGTGTAACTGCAATATCAACACACACACTACCGCTTAAGCGTAAGCATAAAAGTTTCCTAAATCGTCTTGTACGCTAGCATTGTGCCTAATTATATTCAAAATAAGATTTATTTAAATGTTACCTAGTAAAAGCTAGGTGTGAACAATTTAATAATATCAATTACAAGAAACCGAAATCAATCTAGCAAACCATAATGCCCTAATGACCCAGCATTAGTCAACAAACTTATCGCCGTTTAAAGTACAAAACCGTTTATCGTGGTTCTGCAAAACCTAGTAACTGACATTTGTGCAAAAAAAGATATTTGCTCACCGGAAGCTCCTGGCATCAAGCCCTTATCCATTCATACTAAAATATCGATACTTTGATATAAGAAGAAGAGATAATTAGGGATAGGTTGTAGCCGCTACAACAACAACAACATTAGGCAATACTAATATAATATTTGATGTCCGTTTTTCAAGACAGTAAATTACGAAATTTAGTTTTCAATAGTACCTATTATTAATGCTGTAACCACCTTAATGAAAAATACAAAAATAAATCGAGACTGGAGTTAAAGTTAGTAAAGGATATATTGGCGATATCGCAAACACTTCCTTTATATTTACATACGCAAGTATGTGCATTAGGGTGCATCACTATCCATAAAAAAGTTGGTAGTGCTTTCCGCCAAAGCTTAAAAGGTATACATACATAATATTGTTTAAAAAATTTATTCACGGAATTAAAATAATGAAATTTTTGCCGGTATTTTCGAAACGATCCGTAATATTTCTCCGAAATAATTCGGCGGAAGTTTTAAAATTAAATAAATTTTACAATTGCTGTGGAAAAGTTGTCCATGTATTTTATATAGGAAAAAATAACTTTTCGTAGAAATGGTATAGAATTCTTGAAAATCAATAATTTTCGATGGGGAACCTCTATTTCTCTTTAGGAGATTCCCAGTTGTTGTTGTTGTTGTTGTAGCGGCTACTAAGCCCCGTTCGGGGCGGACCGTAGAAAATGCAATGGGGGGTATTAATATTAGAAGTATCCTGAAGAGAAAAATATTGTTTTTAAGATATCTATACCATTTCTTTGAAAAGTTATTTTTGCCCATGTAAAATACATGGAAAACTTTGAGCGCTTTGAGCGACCTCTAAATATTTTTTTATTAAAAAAAATGGGTATATTTTTTCGATTTAGAATAATTCTAGGGGTGAGAGCATTAAAATTCGGACTTAAATTTTTTTTTTTTTTACCACCCTAATGTACATACATTTTCATGTTAACATCATTTCTCATACCTTAAAATCATTGAAGCATTCTAATTGTCCATATCGATTTACAGTATATCGTTGCATTATCTTAGTCACAATTAACTTTTTGATTATTTAATATATTCTGACAATCTTGATTAGTATTGTAAAATAGAAAAGTTTCTTATAGATACGGTGACCAGATTTATGTGGACAAAAATCGGGACATTTCTAAAGCATCGAATACGAACATACAATTGTGTTTTTAGAATAAAAATGCATAATACAGTTTTATTTAAAACAAAACAAAGAGAAAAAAATTGAAAATTTTTTATTTTTTTATGAAAATATCATTTACTAGAAAAAAAAATCATTTACATAAATCAAATTTCGAAATTTACAGAACATTTATAAAAATTCCAAATAAGCTTAGGATCTAGTATGACTCCCAAATACTTTTCTTATTCAAATAAGTGCACATTATTGAAATTTCATGTTCAGCTTTCATATTTCTTCCAACTTGTGAGGCAATAGACTACCAGATAAAGCTTTTACCCTGTGCGCGTCAGAATAAGCTTTTTAAATATATATATGGCTTTTAAATGAACGCACACCGAGTATTTTGTATCAGCGACGAGCTTTTATTCTGTACTATGATCGTAGGTCTGGCCTGGGAAATTGCTTTTTCTAACAACTCCCAAGTTAGACAAATGTTTCATTACCTTCCAGTGGCCAGTAAGAAATCCTTTGTTTATGATTCTCCTTGTAGACATTTTCAGCATACAGCATTTAGTTTGTCTGTTACTTTCCATATCTCTTTAGTACTGTTTCCCTTCCGCCTTCAGCATCCAGATATAATAATTTCGCCAAAAGGAAATTCACGACAGAACAGGTCCTATGCGTCCCTTTACATCCTCATTCCTGGCGAGAATAGGGGCCCATTAAAAATTGTTAGTATTAAGAAATGGTAAAATAAACAGTTAGGTATTATTATTGGCAGTCTACTAAAGAGCAACAGAGTTTTCCGATCGAAAAAATTCGACGAACATTTGTTTTTCTTCCCCCATATAAAGTTCATGGAAAACTTTGAGCGCTTTTTGATTTCGAAATAAAACAACAGGGGTGTATTTTTTCGATGTAGAACAATCCTAGCGAGTGAGAACATTAGAATTCAGACTTTAATTTTTTCACATGCACTTTACGACCACCCTAGTGTACATACCAGCTTCTTTTTTGGACGAATCTAGAGGCGCTTTTATAAATTTTTCGGTAACACCTACATAAACTGTGCAGTATTTACAACTGTTTTTTTTATTAGTTCTACTGGAATAATCGAAATACATTCTTAGCAAAATTTTAATGCGTTTTGGTCAGCTTAAGTTACTTACATTAGGGTGATAAGAACTGAGATCTGGTGGGTAAGTACTAGAACGGAGCACATGAAGCCAATGGGCTTTGTAACAAAAAAATGCCTCTTCGTGACAAAAACATCGATATATCATACTTTAACCACCAGTTTCACCAGCAATTTAAATGAAAAAAGGATTTTTTTCCTTCTGCCAGTTTTCATATTAAATTCAAATATAAATAATAATTTTTCACTTAAATTTGCTTTCGTGAAACTGGCTATAAGATACGACTAGCAAATGCTGAAGATATGAAAACAAATTTAAAAAGTCGACCCCCCAGTTTCAAAAAAAAAATAAATTTCGAAATTGCCTTGCAAAAACACTTCATATTTGAAGGTTTTCGGCGATCTTTTTTCTGTAACGATCCAATGTACATACAATGTATGTATGTATGTATATCTTTAATCGACAGCAGACAAAATTTTGTGTAACTTCTTGAGACAATCTCGAGCACATTTTTTATATTTGTTTGTGGATCATGATTGTGATTTTTTCCGTTTTCGTGAGTAACTTTAATTGCGTCAGCTTGGACTATTGACTTTTTGTGAATGTACAAATGTACCTTGCCAAAATCAGAATGAATAAAACATACCCAACTATTTAATTTTTTTACTATATTTATTAATATGAGCTATGCTTTCTATTCGAAATTGCATCTCAATTTTTTTATAAATAGCAGTGTCTTTTGAAACACACATACAACATTTTATATACTTTGAGTACTGTATTGGAAAAAGGCATCATCTCAAAAGGTTTAAAAAAGTTTGATTTTCGTAAAAACGAGAGGGATACAAATATTGTCTAAAACATTGTAGTAGTAATTCTATAATTTTAAATCTGTATATCTGATGCAAGAACTTTGAACTTTTTTGTTAATGTCACATGGAATTTGCTTTCTAAATTTTCTTTACATATACATATGTATTCCAGTACGTAGGTCTTATAAAAACATAAATAAGTGTATATGAAAATAACACAGAGTTATTTAAAATTAAAACAGCCAATTGAGAATAAATATTGTTTTTTATTACATGCATACACATTTTTATTGCAGTTTTAATTAATAGCCCAATTCGGTATCGGTGACAATACTTTTTTTACTGACAAATTTAAACTTTTTCACATACTTTTCCATAAAAAAAAAAACAAGAATTTTTCACTGATACAGATTAGAGCCGTAAAAGTATCACAAAATTTTATTAAAAAATTTGCTTAAGGTGTATAAATAAAAATTACGTATTTATGCTTCTTGAAGGTAGTTAACACTAAAAAAAAAATAAAAAAAATCTTCATAAAATAATATTTATGTAAAGGCTACGTTTTACTTTTTTGTGCATTATCGTGATTTTTTTGAATTTAGATAAGTATATGTTTTTTTTTTATATTATAAATTTGCTTATATCAAGATTAATGTCAATATTTTTTTTTTGCCTCTAATGTGCTTGATCGTATGTATCCTTGTGCTGATAACCGGATACGTAGCCAGATGCGTCTACTAAATCCTTGCGACCAGCAATACCTTTGCCCTTGCCTGTGGCATCGAAACGTTCCTTATGAGATCCAGTATACTTGCTGGGGTCCGTGAGACGGTTAACAGCCGATGCTGCTTTGCCGGCCTGCGAAAATAAAGAAATGTTAACACAGATTTTAACAAATATTGCTACCAGCAAATACCCGGCGTGCTACACTGCGCCTCAAAAGTATTTTTGTGCTGTTTGATACCCGTATTGCAATATTTAATTTATCTTATTAATTTAATTTAATTTTCAAACAGGTGGCAACTTTCCTCAAAAATATTTTCGGCAGTAAACTTTTCTAAACCTCGTCAGTTTTATACTCATATTGCAATATTCATTTTTTTTAATTTAATTAAATGAAATGAAAATGAAAAAATAAAAAATTCCGCTGTTAGCTTTAGTGTTTGTATTCAATTAACATAAAATAACGAGTATCAAACAGCACAAACATACTTTTAAGGCGCAGTGAAGCACGCTGGCTATTTGCTAGCATATACGATTATTTTTTAAATTTCATCTCAAAAAAATTATACTAAATAAGAAATGATGCGTGCATAAGGAGTAAACCAACATTGGAACCAGGGATGTTACGAATGTTATACAGTGGCGGCAGAAATAATAGACTCGCTTTACTTTGGGGATTTTTTGCTATTATTCCATGGTTTATTTTATGTTTATTATTGCCTGGCTAGCCCTGAAGAAACACCATATAAATCCCCTTTTCAAACTTTATACAAAAACTATATAAATTCGCCAAATTTTCACCAATTTTTTAAACTTTTTACTAAAAAAAAAATCTTAAAAATCAACGGTATTTTGTAGCAAATTCAAATTTGCACTTTATACTAAAATTAAATGGGCTCAAAAACTGCATACCAAACATTTTTCTAAAAATTCTGAATAAAAAGTTTGAAAATTCGGTGAAAATTTGTCAAATTTTTATAATTTTTGTTCAAAGTTTGAAAAGCGGATTTACATGTTGTTTGTTGCATAACTACTTCGGCTTTTATAAAAAAATATTAAACATAAAATAAGCTAAATAAATACAGCCAAAATTCTTAAAAGTACGATGAGTCTATTATTTCTGCCGCCAGTGTATATTTCAAAGAGAGAAAAAATTATTTGTGTCTCCATAGCTTTGCCAATTGGGAGAGTAGCTCAAACAAATACTTAGTAGGAAGTACATATTATGTACATACATATCTGTGTTCGTATGGAAAAGTAGCTTATGTCGAAAGGTTGGCTTCAGTATAATGCGGCAATCCCTTTATTTTTTAAACGGCAAGGAATTTTTTGATGAGACTTAATAAGAATATTGCCTTGCTAGTATCGGAACTATTTCTTCCACGTTTATTTGCCAAAAGTTGTTCAACGTCTTAGCGCCAGTGAGTCATTCGCAATCGTATGCTGCGAATGCCGATTTATACTAAAGCCAGCCTTTCGACATAAGCTACTTTTCCATATGAACACAGATAT